TCAAACTTTCAGTTTCTCAAAAAAAATTTTTTTTGTAATTAAAAACATTCAAAACAGCATGGTAAAAAAAAGTGGTATGGAGTTAACTACTAATTTTTGAAGTGTCTCTGTTCATACCACTTTTAAATTCGCGATCTCAACTCTCAAATACGCCATCTGGGGAGAAGACCAGTTCGATGTCTTAACCCTTTCCCACTCATCTTCTCAGTTGTTTAGGAATGTACTACGATATTTTTCCTTTTCATATTTATTTTTCACAAATATTTTTTTTAAATTTCCCTGACTCTTTCGTTTCAAACTGTGTTCAATGTAATTTCCAGCTCCTTAAAGTTTCCTAACTTGGAGAGTTTTAATATATTTGAAAATCAAGAAGGAAACTGACATACTTCCTTCTCCTGTGACTCTCCATACGCTAATGGTGAAAGCAGACGAAGTGTTGCCATAATTAGAGAACCCTGCTCTACGCCACCTATAAACCATTTAGATCACCAATAGTAAAAAAAGAGCCCATCTTTTGGACATGCTTTCCTTTCAGTTCTTGTTTTGAGGATTTCTGAAGAACGCATCAGCAGTTTTCATGGAATGTGATAAACATAGTCAGGGGTCTGCCGAGGGCAAATTTACTACCATTTAGTGGTACCTTCACAAATTCAACTTAAGGAAAAACGGTAGTTTCAGAAATAAAAAAGCTAGTTCTCATGTAAACTTCATTCTCTTTGCAATCATGGAAAAGATTAGCTTTTCTGCCAGCTGTCTTTTACAAAAAGGTGGCACATATTTGGTATGATAGTGCAACATGATAAGCTTAACCTTGAACTTTAAGCGAACTTTTTTCCGCTGAGTTTTTAAAATAAAACGACGAGGCCCTCCCTCTATAAGGAAGTCAAAATTCAAAAATTATCTTATACACAATTGAAAATTTATTCTAACCGACCTTTAGTTTTTCATGAACCATTTTCTTCTCTGTGAAACTTTTTTCTGTGTGACCCAGTTGAAAATGTTCTCATAATTTAAATAACTTTTAGTACTAGTACTGCTAAATGTATGTTTTTATTAAAATCAAGTTGAAATTTAACTATGGACAATTTTTATGGATTTTGAAATTTGGATACAATTTTTAGCCCAAAATTTTATAGTGCAAAATAGTTTTTGAACATATGGGGAAAATATATAGAAATTTGCCGGTCAAAAATGATTTTTATTTGTAGTGGCAATTTTTGAAAATATTTTCTTACTTTACCAAGTTTTTGTGGTGATTTTTTAATATAATTTTTAATTTTCTCAATTTATTTATGTTTAAATTTTCACAAAATAGGTACATCTTAAAAAAAACCTAGACAGGCCCCTGATAGTATGAATATCTCCATCATGATTTGAATCTTAGCAATCATGGAGATGGTTCTGCTTGTATAAAGATTGAATTTTTTGTTTGAAGTTAATTACTATAATATAGTCTTGAAATTTCATGCTAGCCAGATTTTTTTTCTCTGTCCGAGTTTAAGATTGTCTCTGAAAAGGGCATCTTTGCTCTCTCTTAAATTTAATCTCAGTAAATTTTTAAGCTTTAGGATAATCAGATGTAAATATAGCTAAGAAATTTGCACAGAAGTCTTAAAATATCTTTAGGTGTATCCAACTTTTAAACAGTTAATACTTTATCACAAGGATGGCAAGTTTCTTCCACATTTGGAAAAACCGCCTGAAAGAAAGGTTTATTTCAACCCAAGTGGAAGAAATTGTAAACTCTTATTAATAAAATTTTAACTGTTTATTATTGCAATCTAGTTTAAATAATATTATTTTCAAGTCATTCTAGAAAATTATTTCTAAATAAGTGGAAAAAGAAAGTGTCTTAAACTGTCCAAAACCCTTTTATTCAGATTATGCCACAATTTTAAAAAAAATATTGTGAAAAATAAAAGGTTAACTTTGGAACAAGAAACAAAATGAAGACAAGTTTTTATTTTATTAAAAAAGTTTATTATTATTTTTAATATTGCATTATTTATACTTATCCGAAATATAATTTATCAGTATTAGGAGCGTATTTATTCATATTTAAGGGATAATGTATTCTCTTTTGTTGTTCAATGAATTGTGGAGCTTTGAAAATTATAAATCTTTTTCTAATATATTATTTTTCTTTAATAAGTTAAATGTATGAAAAGTATAAGCAGGGGTCTGTCTAGGTTTTTCTGAGACGTACCTATTTTGTGAAAATTTAGACATAATTTGTGAAAAATTAAAAATTATATTTAAAAATCAACACAAAAATATGGTAAAAATATGGATTTATCGCTTCTTAAGGGATACAAAAATAAAATTTTAAGAAAAAGTATTTTGTGAAACTACCGTTTTTCCTAAAACTGAATTTGTGAAACTACCGTTTTTCCTAAAGTTGAATTTGTGAAGGTACCGCTAAACGGTAGTAAATTCGGCCTAGACAGACCCCTGNATGCGTAAAAGTTGGCAGGTATGCATATCTTTCAACATTTGAAGTTTGCAATTGAAGTACAACATTGAAATTTTTCAGGAGCAGTGAACAGCAATTTTTTTTAAACAAATAGAATTTTTGTAAAACTTTTGTTGGGGAAGCGGCAGTTTTTTCCTTCACAGAACTACCAACTACTACGCATTTTTAAATATATTTTAAACAGTGATGCATACTTATAAATTAAAGCTTTTACAATTTTGGTCAATTTTGCCAGAAATTTAAAAGCCTCATCACGAGGGAGGAGGAAGGTAGTGGTGTTTACATATGAACTTCTGAATCATATCCATGTAGTGGTGGCGAAAATAACTAATTTTTAAAACAAGGAATCAAACATTAAAACATTAACTTAGTTGCTACTCGAAGAAATTTTTCTAAAAGGCGTTGAAAGATAGCAGCCCTTATTCTATATATCTGTTAGAATTATTTATTAGCTTAATATTATCTCTGTATCACTCTATCTCATTATCTCTGTATTATCTCTATTTTATTCTGTATGTTTAAGTATTTAGGAAATTTATGCATCATACGGATGAATTTTAGATCTTTGTCAATATCTATTACTCGACGTAAACTAACTTACAAATGGATTAAATCAGTGTTCCCCAACCTTTTTATTACTGCCGACCTGTCAACGTTTGATGACAGGATAACCACTGCCCGCTGGGGGGGGCGTTGATTGTTTATATTTTAGATTATTTTGATTTATTAATTTTAATTTAATTGTATTTAAACATTCCTTCAAAATAAAATACAGTTACACCAAAAAATAAATATAAAGTGATTTAACATTTCAACTTACTAGAACGTTAAATCAATGAAAAGTCTGAGCTTGTTTCTTTGCAAGGAGACAGTTTCATCACATTAAAGAATTTATGTCACTACCTTCGGGGGCCACTTTTTTTAAAAATAAATAAAATTTCAATGGAACACAGATATTTTTAATTAGGGGTATACCCTAGGACAGTGTTTCCCAAACTTACGACTTTTGTGTACCCTTTTTTAATTTTTCGTAACGCTGTGTACCCCTAATAAAAAAAAGAATGTATTTTTTACTATAAAAAAATTGCACAAGTTAAAAATCACAATTGGCTGTTGACACCACTTATTATTTACTGTTAACTCTGCAAAAGATAGCCAATGGAAAAATATGTATTCGTAAATTTTCATGGCTAGCTTTATTTTTAAAAAAAAATGTGAAATTTTCGTTTGTTGTAAGACATTTTGCATAAGAACGCGTACCCCCGCTAAACTGCTCCTGTACCCCTGGGCGTACGCGTACTACACTTTGGGAAACACTGCCCTAGGAATTTAAATTTAGTTTCAATGAAATGGGCTGTCCGGTACCATTTGATCCTCGGTCCGGGGGTTGGGGAACACTGCTATATTGGACATATTTTGGTTGTAAAGTGACTGGAAAATATCGGGTGGATCTGATAATTCTAGATTGGACCAGTATTGGAAAAATAATGGCCCTTTGAACCATTATTGAGCCATATTCTTGAATGTTGGTCCAATGAGAAATCTATTTTGCTCCTAGGGACTATTCAGTCCTGGGGACTGAAATCAGTCTTTAGAAAATTTGTGGACTAAATTCCATTTATTAAATATCTCTTTCTAATTTTTTTTTAAAATCAAATTTCTTTTTTACTTTAAAAATGTATATATTAAATGTCACATTTTAATGAAAACATTGTTGTATTTTTCACAATTTTTTGGAAATGATCAAGTAATGATGTCAAACTGCTATGAAAGATTGGTGTTGGGACTTTTATTTATTTTGCTTTTGTTAATCTTATTCCTTAAGTTCTGACATTGAACTTCAACATCTGCTTGGGTAAACAAGATTTGTACTATTGCTGAGTCTAAACCTGCTTGAGTTGACATTCTCCTAAATGTATTGACATGATGGCTAAAGTTAAATTATTCCTTTTTTTTTCTTTTTTTTTGTAAAAAAATTATAATGATAGGACAAAATATATATATTAGTGTATTGAAAAGTAAGTAGGCATTGGTTTCTTATTCAGTAAATGAAATGAAAAGATATACTATAAGGCTAGCTGCTATTTTTGTTTTGGTTTCTCTAAAAAATAAATTAGTTAAGTAGGATAGAAAAAATAACCAAATTATTGATTTAAAAAGCAGACCATTATCAAAGAAAGGTAAATTTTAATGCCAGTGAGGTATTAATTTCGAAAAAATCTGGAAAATAAAACGCTGGACTGCATTAATTGGTCAAAAAGCTAGCTCAGTCTTCAAATTTTTTTATAGTAGTGCAAATGCAATTTCTATTGCTAAATATTTAAAGTTTGAAATGCTATTAGTCTTGTTTACATCTACTTTTGTTCACACATTATTTCATTCTAGAAAGGATAAAAAAACTTTTAACATTTTAAGTTACAGACATTTATATAAAGGAGTATATTGGTGAAGTAGTTTCTGAGAAACATGATAAAAGTTGGTGACTAATCATTTTGAAAAATAAGATGTTTCTGATTTTTTTTTTTAGGTGCTGGTGAGTCTGGCAAAAGCACAATAGTTAAACAGATGAGAATATTGCATGTGAATGGATTTAGTGAAGAGTAAGTTATTCATAAAATTTTTGCTTTGAAATTATTTGTTTTGAATTAAACTTTTTTTTTTAATCTCAATTTTTGAATTCCAAACATTGTTTATAAATTAAGTTCTTTTTAATTTAATCATTTAACGGTTTATTTTTTTTTGTTTAAATCAGGATAAACAAGTTTTTGTTAGTTTTTAACCATGGTTAAAACCAGACTTATATAAAATGAAAAACTTTCAGTGAAAAAAAGTCTCAAGCAATCTCACACAAGCAATTTATTGACTCTTGTAGCTAGTTAAAACTCTTTTGTCACCACCTAATTCGGATGAAATTTGTTCGAAAATCGCTTTTTTTTTTCTAAAAAGGGTTTTAATTTTTATAAAACTCTACATTGATTGTTACTTATATATTATTTTTGTTTTACATTTATTAGTTTTTTGATGATATGAAACTATTGATTTATCAAATTTTCTGTTATATCCGAATTTTATAAAATTGGCTGCAGGGATAAAGGTCCACAAGTTAGTGTATATTATGCATGTCTAAATAAAACCATCATGCCAAAAACCCAGGGTTTAAAAAAAAAACCGGATGGATTTTATTGGAATTTTTTAAGATATTTAACACTATCTTAACACTTTTTAGATTTAATTTTTAATTCAATAGAGAAAATTTTAATAAAAAGGAAACTTATATTTGAAAATAATAATTGAATTAAAGTAAAAAAGTTATAATGTAGTACCACCTTTTCATGCTGGTATTAATAAAAGACTCTTAAATTAATTCTTTATTTGAGTAAAAATCAAATCATAGTATTGGGATCGGAGTTTTCTGTTTTATTTATTTATTTTTAAACATTCATAAATTCAGGGCTGATTGTGCTCCGGAAAAAATCCGGATTTCCGGAATTTTTGCTAACAGTGATCCGNGTTTATTTTTTTTTGTTTAAATCAGGATAAACAAGTTTTTGTTAGTTTTTAACCATGGTTAAAACCAGACTTATATAAAATGAAAAACTTTCAGTGAAAAAAAGTCTCAAGCAATCTCACACAAGCAATTTATTGACTCTTGTAGCTAGTTAAAACTCTTTTGTCACCACCTAATTCGGATGAAATTTGTTCGAAAATCGCTTTTTTTTTTCTAAAAAGGGTTTTAATTTTTATAAAACTCTACATTGATTGTTACTTATATATTATTTTTGTTTTACATTTATTAGTTTTTTGATGATATGAAACTATTGATTTATCAAATTTTCTGTTATATCCGAATTTTATAAAATTGGCTGCAGGGATAAACGAATTTTAACCTTTTTTTATAGTATTAAAATTCAGCAATGACCTCAAATATTCCACAAGTTAGTGTATATTATGCCAAAAACCCAGGGTTTAAATAAAAACCGGGTGGATTTTATTGGAATTTTTTAAGATATTTAACACTATCTTAACACTTTTTAGATTAAATTTTTAATTCAATAGAGAAGTAAAAAAGTTTTAATGTAGTACCACCTTTTCATGCTGGTATTAATAAAAGACTCTTAAATTAATTCTTCATTTGAGTAAAAATCAAATCATAGTATATTGGGATCGGAGTTTTCTGTTTTATTTATTTTTTTTTAAACATTCATAAATTATAGCTTCATTTTTTAGTTATAAAGAAAGCCTTTTGCAGGTCAACTGACTGCAGGACTACTGTTTATTCAACAATTTTCTTAGTTTTTTTTAGGAGTTACTCTTCAATCTATTAGTTAGTTTTGATTTAAAAATTCCGGAATTAATATTTGAAATCCCTTAAATTTTATCGGTTAATCAATCTATTCTCTTTTATATTATTCTTTATTAATCTATTTTGATTATATTTATAAAAAACCCATTTGAGCCCATTTAGGGAGGGGGTTGATTTGATCAAAAATGAACCTCATAACATATTTTGTAATGAAAAATAAAAGGTGAAGATGAGAAACACTATTTTTTAGAGCAAAGTACTTTTTATTTCATTAAAAAAGCTGATAAGATTTCTGCTTGAAATTATTAAGAGTAGATTTTTTTTAGTATTAAAATAAAATTACATAATGGAAAAATAGCAATGGGTTTAACATTTCAGCTCTAAATTTCTATAAATTTATGTAAAAATTTTGAACTTTAAAAAAAAAAAAAATTATGTTTTCTGGTTGTCCTTTTGGGGTGAATTGTTTATCAACAAAATTTCAGCTATATGAATGGTAAGAGTACTTGCTGTAAAGTTTTTTTTATTTTATTAATTACTGTTTGAGATGTTTTCTGTTGTTGAATTGTCCTTTTCCTGACTGCTTTTATAAAATCTATTTCAGTGAAAGAAAACAGAAAATAGAAGATATTAAAAAGAATATCAGGGATGCAATATTGGTATGTACTTTTAAGCTTACTTTTTGCATTTAGCTACAGCTTAGATACCCAATCCACGACACTCGTAACAGAGACATTTTTTTTTAAAGGACATCTTCAGAAAATTAACAGAAATCTTCACTTAAAAATCTAATTGTACAGAACTAAATACAATAACATCAGACTGCTTGATACCAATTCAACAATGCAGTAAGACCGAGTTTGAGCTTTGTCAATGGTTTGAGTTAAGTTTCTATTATGAGGGCAGTTTTAAGGTACCTATGTAGAAGACTCCCACTAACCTTTAAAATTACAAAATTCAAGAAATTCAGTTCTACTGGTAACACATCTGCTTATATCTACTAAGAAAAGTGTCAGAAAAAAATTTTGAACTAGGAAATGTAAATTCATAGAAAGCATAACATTTTTAAAAATTCATGATTGTATTAAAAGTTAAACAGATTTGTAGGAAACAGGGTTTGAAAAATTCCAGTCCATCTATGTTTTTCATCAAAAACCTGGGGTTTATTGGGTTTTTGATGAAAACCAAGTTTTTTTTTTTTTCAAAAATACTTTTTAAAGTTTTAGATTGTTACACTATTATTTTTATTTCTTAAGAATAAGCAGATTGTTACATAAAAATTTAAATCTACTCAACTAAAAGATCCTTTGATTTTTAATAATCATTTTATTCAGTTAACATTGCTTCTTAATATACTGTTTTTAATTTTTGTTCAAATTTTTGCTTGCTTTAAAAATAGTTCACGTTTTTCACCAAAATGTTTAGTTACATTATGTAGTTTCCTAATAATGGGATTGGTTGGAAATGATTTTGTTTAAGTTCATCATAAAAGTAAATATAAAACACATTTGTTAATCTAGTAGTGAAATATAAAAACTTGTTGAAACAATTTTTTTTGTATGATTTAGACAAATTTCTTTATTTACTCTTTTTTTTAATATACATGAAAAAAATTGCTAATCTTAATTTCTGCACTTAATTTTACAATTCAATTTCAGTGAAATCGTTAAAAATGGAATGCAGATTAGTTTCACTTTTACAATCTGAATGACATTAACTTATAACAATCTGAAAATGTTTTTAAAAAAATAAAATATGCCGACCCGGGTTGGCAAAAATTGCCTAGTAATTCTTTGGCGACCCCTGTTAATTAATACAATTTTATCTGTGCTTACATTATAATCAAATTGCTTTTTATAATTTTTTTATTTAAAGTTTTTTTTTAGGAAGTTAAATAATTGGCACTGTCACTGGTGGTATATGTATATTCAAAGTACTTAATTTTAAGTCCATAAAAGTGCTTAATTTTTGCTTAATATTTGGAACCCTGAAATTACATAATGTAAATATTTATCATGATACATCTTTAAGGTTGAAGTATCTTCTAAAAGATGATCTAAATTCAAATCAGCGAAGAAAAAAAATTATGTCATATAACAGGAACTAAGATTTTATTTTAACTCATCAACACTTACCCTGCTTTATATTGTTATTCGTTAAAATTTTATCGGAAGTTGCCACTCAGACTATTTTTAAATAATAAGTCACTGACAGATTTTATATTCGAGAAAAAAGACAAGGTAGTTCTCTTGCTTAACCCAAGATCTATTTCTATAAACTGCTGATCATTTCTTAGTCTTAGTTTTTATCAGTACAAACCATGCTAGGTGTAATTTTGCTTGCATAGGCTTGGGCCATTTAAAAAAAAAAATTCCAATCAAATTTAAAAGAATTTAATTTAAATTTTAGCTGTCACATAATCTTAATCTGTAAACTGTCACCTATGACAAGTACAAAGGGAATGAGAAAGTTGATTCAGGCATAAAACCAAATTGATTAATCTTCTATATAGCTGTTATTCTGTCTATATAGCTGTTAAAAACCGGAATAAGAGAAAGTCATCAGTAGCATGCATAGTCGCATTGGTGAATGAAAAAAAATATTGATATTTACTTCCAACTAGTGACTGTTGACACTCAACAAAAAATATGTACATTTACCAGATTTAAGATAACACTTTTTCTTCTCCATTGATGCACTTGTCTAGTTATGTAACTCAGTCGAATGTTTTCTGATAAATGAAATTTTTTTCCCTTACAGACTATAACAGGAGCAATGAGCACGCTTTCCCCTCCTGTTCCTCTTGAAAATCCAGACAACCAATGGAGAGTAGACTATATTCAAGATGTTGCCAGTAATCCAGACTTTGACTATCCTCCAGTAAGTGCTGAGATCATAGAGTAGACATTATGCCTGAAACGTGAAACTGTACACTCACACCATGTTACAAGGCCAGGGTCAAACATTTTCAATGTTCATAGAGTGGTTTTAAATCGTAACAATGCTAATATACAAGTGATTGGAAGTAGCACATTACAAATACTGTACATTACAAACTACTGTAGTCGTTACTTTTCTTTATATTTTGTAGTGTAGCGTGCTACTTTTTCTAAAAAAAAGTTGTGTAGTAAGTAGTGCAATACAAAAAAAACAATAGTTGGTAGCGACCACATGGCAGAATCTCAGTGACACAACGACATTGTTGCAGAACGTTACAAAGTTCTTGCAGAAAGATTTTTCTTTTGAAAAGTAAAAATCAGAATTTTCATCAGAAATTTACTTGTAATATTTGAATAATTAGCATTTAGATAATCACTTTTTGATGCTCTCAATTTAAGCCGATAGTAACGTAAATCAATGTAATGTTTCGATTGAATTTTCGGCAGTTATTGATTTTCACGTGGTTTTTAAATATCCCGATGTATTTTAAACAATATGGGAAGTTCGAATCTTGTATTTTAGTATTTACTTTTTAAAGCAATGATTCCATCGATTTTTTGACAGTTATTGCTATTGATTTCTCCATAGTTTTTAAATCTGATATATTTTATACAGTATTATTTATTGCAATAACCTAATCTCAAAACGAAACATACATTTGAGGAGTCCGATTCGCGTGATTTCATCAGTTATCTTTATTTCAGCAATTGCTTCTATGGATTTCATGATTTATTATTTATTTTTTTTATTGTGATTATTATTTACAAAATGCAAAAAATGAAATAATTAGTGTGTTTTCTCCCTCTACAAAATGCGAAAATATCACCCATGATATTAGATTAAAAAATTATTACACATTCAGATAAAATAANAACGAAGGGCCGCACATGTATTGAGACATGTTAATGACAAATGTAGTAATGTTTATTTAACATTAGCGTTCTATTTTTTTATCAATAAACTTTGTAATATATTTGTAAAAAATTAAAGGTGTTCATTTTTAGAATTCATTCAAAAATAAAAAAACTTATACTTTTTTTTTTTTACAAAAAAAATTGCTATTTTTATCATATGAAAAATAGATTTATCAAAATAAATAAACTTTGATGAAAAGAAATGTTTTTTTTTTAATCATATCATGCAATACGAAAATTCATTTTAGAATTACGGGGCGCATCCAGAAAGTAAGTTTCCGTATTTTTTTTTTTTAAAAAAGAACTCATACTTTCAGGAACATATTTATTGGCAACAACTACAGCAATGTCTCAGCTATTTTCCAACATAGCCACCACCAGAATTGAGACACTTGTCGTATCGTGGGATCAATTTTTGTATTCCTCTGTCGTAGACAACTCTTCGTCGTTGCCAAAACGCTCACCGGAGGACAGGAATTTCTTGAGGTGCAAGAAAACATGAAAATCGCTGGGAGCAAGATCAGGGCTGTAGGGTGGATGATCAAACAATTCCGAGCCAAATTTCATCAAAACAGCTGCTGTGCGTCGAGCTGTATGTGAAAGAGCGTTGTCATGGAGGAGCACAACACCTGCAGTAAGCATTCCACACCTCTTGTTTTGAATGGCACGTCGCATTTCCGCAGTGTTTCACAGTAACGGTTGGCGCTTACTGTTTCACAACGTGGTTCCATTCACAGACGGCAGAGTTCTACGACAGATGGATACAAAAGTTGAACCCATGATACGACAAGTGTCTCAATTCTATGTTGCTATGTTGAAAAATAGCTGAAACATTGCTGTACTTATTGGCCAAAAATATGTTCCTGAAAGTATGAGTTCTTTTCTTTTAAAAAAATAGGGAAACTTACTTTCTGGATACGCTTCGTAAATTCTAATAAATAAAAAAAAAACTGCAATGCCCACAGAACGAAAGTAGGAAAAATTTTTGTCATAATCAAGTAATATAAATTCAAATTAAATATTTTAATTGAAGAAAATTTATAGGTTTTTAACAAAAGCCTAAAATAAAAAAACTGTTATAGTATAGGAAAATAAAATTCAATGCTTATTTTGTAATGTACTTTATTATTTCATTTTATTAATTATTAGATTTTTTTATATCGTAAAAAAATTTTTTTTATGGAAAAAGATCACTTTAGCAACAAAAAATTGAAATCTTAACTACAAACAGTGAGCAGTTTAAAAATTCACGTTTTCCGCCATTTTATGAATTTCTCAAGTTGCAATAACATTGCATTTAAATTAGGGATGTAACGAGTATTTGGCCCTTCTGTGAAAAATTCAGTTGGTTGAATGATCAGTCAAATATTCAGCAGAATATTTTTTAGAAATGTATTTTTCTAAGTTCTTTTTATTTTTGAATTTTTATAGATATTACTTTTTTTTTAAAATTATAATCAGACAAGTCAATTTTGTCATTTTTTCGATACTTTGAGAATTGAGAAGGATTTTTTCCCCATTTTTTGCTGTTTTTATTATAACCCAGCATTTCAACAGAACTTCTCATACTATTAATTTATTATCACTCTTTCCCTATACTGTAATATAAATAACCAGTAACATAGAAAAGTGTGATTTTCAGTATTAAAGTTTTGTTTTTGGAACTAAAAAAAATTTGTTTTTTCTGTTTTTCCTTTTTAGGCATTTTTATTATGACTCAGCATTTTTTTAAAAAATAAAGTTGCTAATAAAATTTATTTTATAGCAATTTTTTTTCTTCTAAAATTATAGCAATAAGAAGAATTTAAATTGCGATTTTCAGCATTAGATTTTCATTAAAAAAATTAAGTACGTTTTTTCTAACTTTTTATTTTTTTTTAATAAAAAAAAAACTTTTTTTAGACGTTTTTATTATAACGCAGTAATTTTTAATAGCATTTCTGTTGACTTAATTCTTGGCTTTTTCTGGTAATTGGAAAACTGAGATGTTCAGCTTTAAAATTTTCTTTCAAAAATTAAGATTGATCTTTATGTTCTCTGTTTCGCTTTTTGACATTTTCAAAAACGTTCTTGATTGGCCTTATTTTTTAGAGTTAATTTATGAATACGTTTTTCCAGGAAATATTTTTCTGAGCATTGAAATTTCAGTTTCAGTGATGCTATGCTGCTAAAAGATTTTGCTATTTGGCCCCAAGTGTACGGCGTTCAGTCGATTTTTCTTCTTTTTTTTTAACGAATATTTGGTTTTTGACCAAATCACAATTCACTACCACATTCGACCAAATCATATTCATTGCGGAAAAATAACAAGGATTTACGATAAAACTGCACCAAAATACTGTATCAAAAAGTGATTATTTAATTGCGCGATTAACAATCACGTGCCGTAATAACATCATAGTTAAATAACGGGATCGTCAAAATCATGTGGAAAAAGTATAGAAATAATTGGGTGAAAAAATTACTTATATTTATGCTGAACTCAGCACGAATAAAGCTTGTCAAATGCTTGATTTAAAATTTGCATGTCGTAATAGAATAATTGGAATTTTCTATGATATGTGGGAACGCATAGCAATAACTGCCGAAGAAAATTGTTGGAAAAAACGAAAGAATTGCAAAAAAAAAAGATAAAAAATCACTTAGATTTAAGATGAAATCGTCACAAATAAAGGGCACCAAAAAGTGATTATTTAAATGGGCGATCTGAAACTCGCTTCGTAATAAAAATTCGGGATTTCCGAAATCACTTAGAAAAGCGGAAATAACTGTTTAAAAAAAATCATTTATATTTATGATAAAATTGGCTTGAAGAAAGCGCATTAAACGTACATTTACTAAAGAATCTGTTATAATTGATTGTGTCAAAACGTGATGACTTAAAAGTGCGATTAAAAATTGCCATTTTTTAAACTTTTTTTATTGTGTTTAGAAGTTCTCGCGGGCCGCACTTCAGTAGTCGAAGGGCCGCATTTGGGCCGCAGGTTGTGTACCCCTACTATACAAAATGCGAAAATATCACCCATGATATTAGAATAAAAAATTTTAACATATTCAGTTAAAATAATTATATATGTATATATTTAATATTTTTTGTAAACACAGCACTTTTGTTATTTTAAGTTATTAGCATATATGTTTAATATTATTAAAAGTATCTTGCATATAGATGTTAGTGCTAGAGAGTTTTGTCGCAGATAGCTCGGAAAAATTCTGCCACAGGGCAAAAGAAGGAAGCATATTTTCGATGTTCTTAATTTCTTAGAGGGAATAAAAGAGCATACAACATTAAAAAAATTACAAGTATTTGATAATTTTTTAGCATCTTTTAAATTAAATATTAGTTGTCAAGAAGGGGATGACTAAATGAACAAATTTAAAACGAAAANCTCAATTTAAAAAAAAAAAAAAAAAAAATTTAGAATTACAAACTGGCTTGCGGCGGTGCCCTGGCCCTGTATAATATAAACAAATATAAATATTTCTAAATAATTCTTCATGTTTAGCAAAAGCTAATTTTTTTATTCAAAACCCTTTTAAACATAATTTGAAAATTAATTTCTCCAGCTAAGTTCTGCTTCTTAAACATTGTGCATAGCAGTTTTAAAAATTGCTTAAAGGTGCTTATTTTTCATTTTTTAAAAGCGCTTAATAATGCTTTTTTTCATTGGGTGTTTTTAAAAAATACTTAGTTCTGCCTTTTCGAAATGAGAATTTTTTTCTTTACCTTGTCTATTTTTGCCACGTATTATGCAAAAGTGTGCTTTTCACATTGTTCTATTCAACATTTTCACAATTCATTCTACCACAATCTATTTCGGGGTACCATCGTTCCCCAATCCTTTTACATATTTGATGAAATACTTGTGAGTCTGCATGTGCGTCTACTAAGCTGGGTTTGGTGAGGTTATTGCAAGCTTTAATATAACCTTTTTCAAACAAAATTCATTTATATAGAGGCAGTAGAAAAATATTTTGTTCTTTCCAAATTTTTTCACCATTTTTTATTTTTTCTGTGTGAAAATAAATTTGGAAGTGATTAAAATTTTTATATTTTCTCATTTTTGGATGTGTTAAGTTATGTTGGTATATTTCTTTCATCAATAACGGTGTGAAAATTAATTTGGAAGTTACCGAAATGAATTTGACATGGTGTTGGCAAAAATGATCAACAAGATGATACATAAGTACTTGTTCATCTCTAATATTTTTATCACATAACTATAACTGTCACAAAATTTTGTTAATTATTTTTATGAATTACTAATAAACTTTAAAATCAATTAGTTTTTCAATAAATAATTAGGGTTGAAATGAAATGTAAGCTACATACAGCTTAAAAGAAAGAAAGAAATCTCTATAAATGCTGAGTGGCATAAACGTTGCTGCATCAAGTGAAAGAAAAAATAATCTTGGTAACAAAGAATAGACTTACTTTAAAATCAGTCATTGTAAACAAATCTATAAATCTTGTTTTTAATTTTACTAATTGTATTAAAAATATTGCAAAGATAAATAAGTGAATTACCTTTGGTCTCTATATTTTCGTAGTTTGAATTCTAAATGAAAGTGACCTAATTTATTTCAGGAATTTTATGAGCATACAGAGATCCTATGGAAAGACAAGGGAGTTCAGTCCACCTTTGAGAGATCAAATGAGTACCAGCTAATTGATTGTGCTAAGTAGTAAGTTGAACTTATTTTTTGTTAAATAATAGCATAATATATGTTGAATTTTGTTCGTAATAGAGTTCAGCCCCTCTTTGACTAGTAGTAACTTAGTTAATTTACAAGGGAAGTATACATCTCGAAAATTCCAATAAAAACCAAAGTTCAACTTAAATTATAGTGCCTGGTTGAAAACCTTGGATAGAGGGTACTAACAGGATATCCACGCACCTGGAAAATCATGAATTTCGGTATTGAACAAAATTTGTCATGATTTTAGCTATTTTTTTTAAGAAAAAGTCATGAATTTAGGTCACCGAAAAATCTAATTATTAAACTGGAATTTACCCCTCTCCCAATTTCTTGGTGTTCCGAATATCTGAATTTGTAACTAACTCCCCACTCACAATCATATTTTATTAAAATATCAAATGTTTTTATCGTGCTCTTTAAAAATTGTGTTCTTTCAAAAAATGAAAAGAAAAAGAAAAAAACGTCATTTCTAGAGCAAATTATCTTTTAAACTTCTGTGATTTCAGAATTTTTATTTATTATTTTATTAATTTGAAATTCTAGTGGAAGCAAACCAGTGACTGGCAAATTTTTTTAATTCTGAAATGAGAGCAGAAAAATCAGAAGTATTTCTTTCCTTTCCCTTGAACAAGAAAAGTATCTTTAGAATATTATTCTGTGGGAAAAAGAAAAAAAAAATTACTTTTGTATTTTTTCAGCTATTTTATTTCTTCAAATCTTTATTTACTCTGTTTTTTAAATTAAAAATCTATAACTATGAAGATGCAGAGTAAAACAATTTTGGTTGCACCTATAATTTCAATTAATGTTATTATGATACTTTTTTGAATTTACTATTGTGTTTTTGTCGGAGAAAATAGTAATTTTGTAAAGTCATGAAAAATTCTTTGAATTAGCCATGAAAAGTCATACATTTAAAAATCTAAAATTTAGCAGATACCCTGTACAAATTAGCTCCAGATCTGCCCCTTGTCTATAATAATATAATATGTAATAATAAAATTTCTAATAACAAATATTCTTTTATAATAATAAATATTCATTTATAATGTTTTTTTTTTATGTGCAAGAAATGCAGTGTTAGCTTTTCTATCATTTAAGAATTCCATGTACAATGTAAATGTAAGAAAATACATGTGACTAAAAATAGTTGAGAAATTATTGTTATCTATTTTAAAGTTTTGTTAACTAAACTTTAAAACTGTCTATTTTAAAGTTATAACTAAAATAATTTTGCTTTTAACTGCATTCTAAGATGTATTTAACTTAATTAAAATTTTGTGTTTTTGATCGTTTAATGTAATTAAAACACATGTTGCCGAATTATGTTAAATGCATATAAAAATATTATTAAATTAATAACTGCCGTCACATGACAATCTTGAATGTGATTGTATGTTATCAGCCAAAAGATTTCTTACATTTCAAAAGTTGAGGAATTTCCAAATGCGTTTTATTACCTCAATTTCAGTCACTAAATTTGTCTTATAATATTTGTTTTTTGTTCAGGGTTTGTATGCACCAAGAAATGTCAGTAGAAATTGTAAATTTACTCCAAAACCTGAAATTCTCAGGGAATTTTTAACTCAATCAAAGCTAGCAAAAAAAAAAAAATTCATACATTTATTTGTAGTTGTGCTAAAAAGCAATAAAAAAAAAATCATAATTTTTTTTTTCCAAGCTGATGATTACTTTTTATATTATTGAGATCCTCCTTTTATGCTAGCTTTTTTGGAGATGAGAGACAAGATTACTCTATATTCTTCTGTCTCCACATTCTAAGAACAATGCTAAAAAACAGTGGTAGATCTTGATAAATTATAGTCATGCCATTTACTTTTTATGTTTGCGTTTTCCTTCTTCTGGAATAAAGTCGAAAATGTCTCGACTTTCAAAGAAAGGGAATGGCAACTACACGTTGCCTTTTCTTTTTTTTTTCCTCAAAAGAAAATTTTGTTTCCCTTTTCTGCACTGATTGCGCTTAGCCATTACTGTTTCATCTCTGAGATGACGATAGTGTAGTGCAGGGGTGGCGAACCTTTTGCACCAACGTGCCCTTTTTTCTAAAATATTGTTTAATTTGGTCATATATGTGCCGTCAAACAATTTTGACTTCGTGATTATTAGAAAATAATAACACTAAATACTATCAACACAAAACTCTTTATTTACTATGAAAAAGAATACCTTTCCCAATGTCTCAGTTACGCGTAATTCAACTTAAAGTAACATCAGTGTGACTTCTGTTGTTGCAGATTAGATGACAAATAACTTATAATAGGTTGTAAGATGTTATTTTAAGCTGATCTGTTAATTTTTTTTCTGCTAGTTATTTATTGTTAGCTAGTTTTTTATGGTAATTAATTGTTTTTTGGCATTAATTGTAATATTTTTGTTAATAATTGTTTAATTTTTTATGAATTTTAATTTAATTAGTAAATTGCTTCACAGTGAACTTCGTGATCGGTGGCGTGCCCAAAATATTATGTGGCTTGACATAAATGGCACGGGTGCCATTGGTTCGCCATTCCTGGTGTAGTGCATTGTTTTATTTGTAAATCAATACCACAATGCTTGGATTTGGGGATCGTCTGGTTTAAGACAATTATCGACAGAGCCTTATCACTTTGTGATTATCATCTCCCTTTTTGATTAAATTGAATTAAAAATCTTAATTTGTGAAGTTGACTTGTTAAACACCATCCGCTAATTGCGCATAATATTTAAGTTTTCTTATCTGTCTTATTGGATTGTGATTTTTAGAAATTACAGTTTTCTTAAGTTATTTTATGAAAAAAAAATCCAATTATTGAATCTAGTTTAGCTACTTACAGCTGTGTTTTTCCCCAAAATTATAATTTTTTTATTATTTGGTGAAGAAACATTGATCACACATACTAATTTTAATGAAATGTTGAATTAAAGTTTTTTTTTATATATACATAAAGATAATAAATTTCCCAGCTTTGTAATTTTTACATATTTGGTCTATATGATGATTTTTTGGAATTAACAATTCAATAATGATTGGAAATTTAACAGAAAGTCATTTATTATTGGACATATTTAATATGATTCTTCCTTTCATGTTTTGGAATCCTTTAAAATAAAAGCTAAGGTCACATAGAAAACAGAGATTTTTAGCATTAAAGACTAGTTAAGAACTAAAAAGGATTTTTTTCAATCAGTCTTCTGTGTATGATTTTTAAATTAAACTCAGTGGCATGACAGCCCAAAAAGGGCCAAGGCCTTCTGCTCCCATCTCAGTTTACTTGACTTAGGAGTCTGGGGTGCAGGAGCAGATGTTCCAGTTGGGTGATCTGCCAAAATCAGAAGTTTTATTTTTAAGTGAATTAAGTGCAAAATATTATAGTTTCTTTCCTTTCCTTCATTATTATAATAATTTTAAAGGTGCCTATTCTGATATCTAAAGCATAACAAATTATCTTACTCATAAATTTTTACATTGATGTTTTAAATTGTTTTTTGTTCATATGTAACAAAAAAAAAATTATCAGCTTTCTAGCTATTAAAGATAATTAAATTAATTTTTATGTTCTTAACCACTTCTTATACTATAAATAAGTTTTTTTCCCCTCTTTTATTCAAGGAAGTAGCATGCTTGTATTAGAAAAAAAATCAATTCAACAATTATGGTTTTGATAATTGATTTTTGAATTAAGAAAAACTAATTTATGTTTACAAATCTATCTAAACTCTTAAGAAAAATTTTTAAAAAATATGTTTTTGTTGATACATCCTATTTATTTTATGGAGAAAAAGTGCTGATTTTTTTCCATATTTATCTACTGATTTACTACAAGCCCCAGAAAGAAAATTTGTCAAAATAAAAAAATATGATTAGGGAATTTATATTTAAATATGTATCATACAGTCAAACTTTCTTATAACGAGGCCTGATTCAACGATAACCTGAATTTGACTGAGAAATCGAAAATACTTGTTTGATACATATTACTAAGTTAATGGGAACATTGTTCTCTTTTGAAAGATGAACCCTGGTTTCACTGAGCATTATTTTTGATTTATAATATTTCTACTCCATTCCAAAACCATAGCTCAGCTAATTCCTTTTTGATGTTTATTGGTTTGGCAATATCCGTCTTGATGGTTCTGTGTCAGCAAAATCATTTTGGTGTTGATGCCCTCTTTTTTGGGCCATGAGTTTTATTCAAAATTACAAAGAGACTATAAGAAAAATCAAAACAGTTTAACTAACTAACTTCTTTTATACTGTACACAATTAAAAATAAATTAAGATCTAGTATATTTTTAATTTAGTAACTTTTTTGAGAATTTTTATTATTTTTACATGAACCTGTTTTTTATGAGCACTCAGTTGCAAAGAACAAATATTGCAACCCTTTCACAATTTTTATAAGTGAGTTAAACTGTATTTATAATTCATATGCTATTTTTTGTAATTTATTTTTAAAATGCTTTATAGTAGAAGATAATAACAAAAAGTTGTTTTCAAAACCTTAGCAGAATCAAGTAAATATGTATCCGGGATAAATCAAACAATTAAATTAATAACTATTGAAATGATTAAAAATAGTTTTATCAGTATAGTGATAACTGGAGCCCGGATTTTGATGACCTAAAAAATCTCAACTAATGCCCTTAAAAAGTGCAAAAAGTGCCTTAAGTAAAGTAAAAATATTGAATTAAAAAAACTTTTGCTCTTTAAAATTATTATGAGTCATTTAAAAGATATAAAGCAATGCAATACTTGTTCTACGCTCATTAAAGTTTGAAAAATTTTGTTTTATATCCTAAAATAACAAAAAAAAGGAAAATTTATTGAGACCAAAATATTTTTATTTTGTATAGAAACTTTAATGGATATAGCAACTTCCATCTCATAATATTACTAAATATCAGAATTACATTGGATTATTAAATCTTTTTTGACAATTTGAAATGTAAACGAGCGTCTCTTGTCNAGCCACGTAAGAGAATTATATATATTAGATCAGAAACACATCATTAAAAGGCAGAATGCTTTGGTGTTTTCAGAACAAAGCAAACGTTGCCACCAGCGGAAAAGAAATACAGCCAAAATTTGGGAGCCACGTAAGAGAATTATATATAATAGATTACAAAGAGACTATAAGAAAAATCAAAACAGTTTAACTAACTAACTTTTATACTGTACGCAATTAAAAATAAATTAAGATCTAGTATATTTTTAATTTAGTAACTTTTTTGAGAATTTTTATTATTTTTACATGAACCCGTTTTTTATGAGCACGCAGTTGCAAAGAACAAATATTGCAACCCTTCACAATTTTTATAAGTGAGTTAAACTGCATTTATAATTCATATGCTATTTTTTGTAATTTATTTTTAAAATCTAATATTTAAAATGCTTTATAGTAGAAGATAATAACAAAAAGTTGTTTTCAATACCTTAGCCAGAATCAAGTAAATATATATCCAGGATAAATCAAACAATTAAATTAATAACTATTGAAATGATTACAAATAATTTTATCAGTATAGTGATAACCTTGCTTGTGTACTGACATCTTGTAATTGTTTGCTTTCAGTTTCTTAGATAGGGTGAGTGTCATAAAAAAAAGTGATTACACACCAAATGAACAAGTAAGTTGGTGTTCTTTCTCATATTTCCGTACTGTATATTTGAGCTGTGGTAGGCTGTAGATAGTGATATGGCTTCATTGCAATCCATACAATGCATGCATTTCAATCTTAATTAGTTACTGAGTTAAAATTATTGATTTGTGAATTTTAATTAATAACCAAATATTAATTAGTGTGTGAGAAGCATGGGTGCCACTCTTCAGTCCTGAAGACTGAAATCATTCTTTGGAAAAATTCGGTGGACTAAATCAGTTTTATTTTCCTGCAGCTCAGCAACTTTGTAGTTTGATTAATTGTTTAATTTTTGTTATTATTATCATTTTTTTTTTTTAAAGTCCAGAGATGGATTGTACTCCGAAAAAAATATGGATTTCCGGATTTTTCTTTAACTGCGATCTGGAGGTTTCAGGAGTTCCAAATGTTCAGAAGCTTCAAGTTATGTTAAGAATTTATATTTGCAAAGGATAATTTTTATTCCGTTTTATTTATTTTTGATATTTTTTCCTTTGTTGGCAAGCTGCCAACAGTATAAACAGATCCATGTTTTTTTATTTTTTATTTAGTCAATAGAATGTCACTTAATATTAACTTTTTCATTTTCATTAGAATTTGTTCTCGCAGTCTATTGTTTTATTAATTTGTTTATTTATACTATTACTAGTGCGCGCAAAGGTATGACTGTGCCTCATAAATATTGAATCAAACATCCAATTTATTTGTGGATAAGGCATACTTTATTCAATTAAAGAATTGTTTTTTAATATTTGTTTTATTTATTTATTATTGTAGTTATGTGTTTATTAATAAGTGTGATTAGTGATAAAAATAAACTTACACATGATTATTCATTTAAACTATGCTGCTTATAATTTATTTTGAATCTCATGTTTTGAAAATAGCATTGATTTCAATTTACAACAACATTAATATTTCTAAATGCGTCATTAATAATTTTACTCAAGAAATTTTCAGGATGTTTGAGTTGGGCTCACAATCAGCCCTGAATGTCTGGTAAAGGAGAAAAAAAAATTATCAGCCATGCTTTTTTTAAAAAAAAAACATATATGTATAATTTTGCTTTTAAGAATGCTATCTTTTTATGTTTGTGCTAAAATGACTGATTTTGATTTTTAATTTAATACAGAATGATACAAAATCAGTTGTATTGGCTACTATGTGTTACCAAGTTAAAGTAGGCTTCTTTAATAATTCTATACTGCAATTGCAACTTGTCAGAATATTTAACCGAATAACAGAAATTCAGTCATAATTCTGTTCTTCCTTGTCAAAAGAAATTTAACAGAATTTATTGATTGGAAAGGCAAACCAGAAAGAGTTTCAGGAAAAGTTTTATATGAAGTTTTTTTTTTAAAAAAAAATGCTTAATTAATCACACAATCTGTTTTAAAACAATAAATTAATTTATTATTTTGTAATTATTAGAGGTAATTTTTTTTAATTAAAATAATTTTTTGTAATCGTAATTACTATTTTATTATTGTGCTATGTTGTACAAAACTGTATTGTGCTGTCCCTTTTAAAGTAATAACAATCTTTTTAGGATATACTACGGTGTCGTGTTTTAACATCAGGCATATTTGAAACTAAGTTCCAAGTCGATAAAGTCAATTTTCAGTGAGTCTCTTGTTTGTAAATATTTATATAAATTCAATGTTTCTCTGATACTGTTGCTCTTTTAATCGTAATGCAAAATCAAGTATAATGTTTGTCTTTTCATTGCTTCTTTCTTATTAAAAATAGCTAAATAAAATAAATAAATAAAAAAATAACTGTAAAGCAAAACATTAACATAAGTAATTTTTTTCAATTGTCACTATTCATCTATTTTATTTTTGTTTTTAAGTTGATTATAATGTGTCCAATTCATTACAGCTGATATTGAAATTGACCAGTTCAACCTAACTTTCCTTACCTGTTTCTATTAATTTTGCTATTTTTATTTTTAATAGAAGTATCCTTTAAGTCTTCTTGTTGAAGTAATGTTAAAATCATTTATTTATCCTTTTTCATAACTATTTTTTCAACTATCGTAAAGTGACTGGTGACTAAAAACAGAGTGCGTAGCCTTTTTAAAAAAGTGCTTATTTTTGATTTACGTTTTTTAAAAGCTCTTAAAGGTGCTTATTTTATTCGGGGTTTGTGAAAAGTGCTAAATTTTCTATCTTTTAAAAAGAGATTTTTTTCTTTACCTGCGATTGTCATTCTAAATAACAAAAAAATGCATGATTTTTACAATTTTCTCTGCAATATTTATCAGAAACTAGTTATTTTATCATGATTATGTATAGTTTTTGAAAATGTTTTTGAATTTTATTGATTTTATATTTATAAGTTAAGAATTTGAAATAGTAGAAATTTTTTTATTTATTATTGCACAGATCATCCTAATTATGATTTTTGGGGGGGGGGCGGAAGTGATTAAAAATATTTTTTGAGCTCTTAAAAGGTGCTTATTTTTTGTGGCTAAGTCTGGCTATGCGCACTGAAAAAGCGACTATTTGGTACTTTTTTTCTACCTTGGACTCTATGGACTCCCAACTATTCTTAAAAGGTGGCTACTTCTTTCTAATTTAGGCTCCTACTCCCTCATATATTGTGATATATAATATAATAAGTGATAGATTGTTTCAAGCCTTTCTTTTCTTTCTTTTCTAATTCGTGGAAAAAAAGGATCCATTTTTTATGTTTTTATTCATGAAGCTGTGTGAGTAAAGAGAATTGAAGTATGAGAAGGAGAGGGAAAAAGAAAATTCGTTTCCCATCCTTAGAATTGGCGCAATAAGATAAGTTTCTGCTTGGCAGATTTTTCATTACCTCAGATTCAGATTTTTCATTGAAAACCTTCAATTGTGTAAATGTATCATAGTTTGTGGAATTTTTCGCTATTAATCCTCGTTTTTATACAATGGATTCATTTTCACTACTTGTACAATTTATCTATCGATCTTTAAATTCTTCACGTTATCTTGTTACTTTATTGATAGAGGATTATTATTATTTTTTTATCATTTTTGCTTAGATTTCCTCTTTAGTTTATGGTAAGGTGACTGTGCCTTAATTAAAAAAGGACAATAATTATTATAAAAAAGGGTTCATTATATTAAGCAATGTTTTGTGCCAATGAGAGATCTTAAATATGGCTTATCTGAAGATCGGGCTGGCCCTTTCACCCGGGAAATATCTCTGTAAAAGATGGTCACAGTTGGCCAAATGGGCTCTATGTAAGGCAAGCATAGTTATGCATTAGAATGAAATCAAAGCGAACTTCATCCATGAAAATGTAAACATCGGGCTTTAAGACCTTATCCCTATTTCTCATCCTACTAGTCTCATAATAATCTTTATCCAAGACTTGGAATCATGTGCACTCACTTCATTTGGGATTGGTAGGTAGGCCACCAACCCCAAATGAAGTGAGTGCACATGAGAATGAAAGAGAAATGAGAGAAATTGTTAAATTTAGAAATTATTACTGAGAATAATTCTAAAAAGTGTTTTACAAAACTGTCATTTGATATAGCAACAATAAGTTTATAAGTTAGAGAAATACTTCCTTTTATANGCTAAGTCATGAAAAATTCTTGGAATTATTCATGAAAAGTCGTGGATTTGAAAAATCTAAAATGTAGCAGATACCCTGGTTTTACAAAACTGTCATTCGATATAGCAACAATAAGTTTATAAGTTAGAGAAATACTTCCTTTTATATAGTCCCAAAATAAATTATTTAAATTATGTAGCTAAAATAATTTCTTTCCACAGCATGTTTGATGTGGGTGGTCAACGTGACGAGAGACGTAAATGGATTCAGTGCTTCAATGATGTTACAGCTATTATTTTTGTGACAGCTTGTAGTAGTTATAATATGGTATTAAGAGAAGATCCTAACCAGAACAGGCTCAGAGAATCTCTCGATTTGTTCAAAAGTATTTGGAACAACAGGTAATACATAGTTATATTTTACACCATTTTTTTCCTTCCCCAGATAATAGCAAAATTTGGGGTCTTGTTTTTTCTCATAGTCACAGATGACCTAGAATACGGCTAAAATGAAAAAGACTCTTAACTTAAATTTCATTTTCTTTCTTTTTTAATTGCAAGTTTTCAATTATTATTGTAAAGATAGGGTATCTGTGCACCTGGAAAGTCATAAATTTTGATATTTAACAAAAATTGTCATGAAATGTCATGATTTTAATTTTTTTTTTAAAGAAAAAAAACATGGAAAGTGATGGATTTAGGTCGCCAAAAAATCTATTTTTTAAAATGGAATTAATCCCTCTCCAAATTTTATGACATTCCGAATATGTGAATTTGTAACAAATCCCCACCCACAGTCATATTTTATTAAAATATAAAACTTTTTTTATCCTGTTCTTTAAAAATTAAGGTGTTCTTTCAACAACAACAACAAAAAAAAAATGGAAAGAAAGAACATCATTTCTAGAGTAAAACATTTTTTAAACTTCTTTGATTTAAATTTTTTTTATTCAATTATTTTTTTTTTTAATTTTATGAATTTAAAATTCTTGCTTAAGCAAACCTGTTCTGGTGATTTTTTTATTATTCAGAAATGAGAACATAAAAATCAGGAGTATTTCTTTCCTTTCCAGTGAACAAGAAAAGTACCTTTAGAATATAATTCTGTGGGGGAAAATTTTTTTTTGCTTTTGTATTTTTTTCAGCTATTTTATTACTTCCACTCTTTCTTTACTCTGTTTTTTAATTTTAAAATCAATAAATATGAAGATATAGAATATAACCGTTTTAGCTGTACCTATCACTTAAATTAATATTATTCTAATGCTTTTTTAAATGTATTGTTCTGTTTTTGTCAGAGAAATTAATAACTTCGTTAAGTCATGAAAAATTCTTGGAATTAGTCATGAATTTGAAAATCCAAAATGAAGCAGATACCCTGCACAAACCACATGAATTTCAACTTTTATTGATAACTGACATCTATGGTTAATATAATTCTATGAAAAATTGACCTTTTAAAAAGAATGTACATGTAATGTATAAAGATTTTTTGTATCCAAGTAATAAAATTTTTATTTAAAGGGAAATAATAATTCAAGGTTGTAACTCTTTTTAACAGGTGGCTACGCACGATATCTGTAATATTGTTCCTTAATAAACAAGATCTGTTAGCAGAAAAAATCAAAGCTGGAAAATCTAAACTTACAGACTATTTCCCTGATTTTGCTCACTATCAGACACCTCCAGATGGTAAGTTTCCTTTTACACAAGTTAAAATATTTGTTTACATTTTGAGACATTCGAAACATTTACTTCCTAAAATTCAGAGAATAGTCAATATTTACTAATGACTTTCTTGGGAAAACTACTTTTCTGAAAATAGGAACCAGTTAATTGAGATTTAAGTGAGCCAATTCTAACCTCTGTTGCAATTATTTTTTGTAGAAATACTATATTTTAGTTGTATTTTCATGTGATCTCTTCATTTAGCAGATTTGGCAAAAATCATAATTTAAAAAAAAATCTAATTTGATTTAAATCGGATTTTAATTTTTTTTTATTTATGTATTTACCGAACAAAGCACTTAATGAAATGTTTAAATAATACTTAATATTGTTTAAAAAGCAATATTATAGATGAAATAGCCAATATTCCTTACTAAAATAGTTACAATTATTATTTAATTATTAAAGACTAATCGCTGAATAAAGAAAATCGTAATTATATTTTTCAAGCTCAGTTTTCTAATGAATGTTATTGATTGAGAGACTATTTGTCAAATAGATTTCTAATAAAGAGTAAATTAGTCGAGATCAGAAAATGTACTGAAAGAAAAATTATTTTTTCAATTTAAAAGCGTTGAATCTGGCCTAAAAAGCTGACAACTCTTATTTTCGACAAACTGCTTGCACATGTGCATACAGCATTTACATGCAATTGCATGGTCTGAGAACACTATATGGTCTGTAGCGCCTCATCATGGTCTTACACAAATGACTGCACTAAATATTGAGGGGAAAACAAACTTTATTTACAGGTTCAAGCATTCATATAGATAGTAAACTTGGCAGCAACTCACAATCAATTGTAGGTTTCTACTGACAAATAGATAAATTTGCAATGGATAGAATTTTTTGTGTAATGTGGTATCTCCACACTTAGCAGACTATTTTTTGTAGTTATATATAAGAATTTTTCAAGAGTATGAGTAACCCACTAGTACGAGTCACCTACAGTGATCTAATTTACATAGCATTTATGCCAATGATTAAAAGATAATCTATGCAAATTGCCTACATGTGACTTATATTGCAAAAAGATATATGCTAATTCCCGGCTAACAACGACCGCTCTGCCCCCTGATAAAACGTCATTCAACTACCTCAAGAGGTATAAACAAGACCTCTAAAGTAAACAAAGCCCTGCCAAGTATTTGATTAGTAACACCAGTCCATCATTGCTTTTAGATTTGCTGATCAGTGGAATGTTACAGGTCACACCAAAAGTTTACCAAATATTTTTTGCTTGCTTTAGAGGCCAATTGTTATGAATTGATTGAAATATTCACTACTGTGTTACTTATTAAAGAGCTTCTTTGGTAACAAAAATATGCAGGAGGAAATAAAATTTGATATGTTTCAATCACTCAAAAGTAGATGCCCATTTTCAAGACTTGCCAAGCATTAATGAAAAAAAAGTGGTTTGAATTATAAGAAAAGTTGCAATGAAAAATAAGGACTAAAACGGAGAAACAAGTATTGAAAAACCACTGACCAAGAGGGCCAAGTCAAAATATTCTCATTCATGTCTGTCAAATCTTGAAAATGGGTGCCATGTTTAAGCACATGCACATCAGTAAATGTGAAATGGCTATTCTACATGCTGTATTCAAGATACTCATAAACTTTTATTTGATATTGAGATGGGGCTTTTTTATCTTCGTCTGTTGCTTGCTAATTCTTTTTCTCATTTTAGTATTCTTGGAAGAAATTTTTTTTTTCTCCTTACTTTGACTTTTTGTGTTGTAAATATTTAATAGATAATCACAACCCAATGTCAAACCATTACCTCAACATTCCTTCATTACTTTTCTTCTATTAATCTTAGCAAGACACTTTATACCAAATGAAAAGTACAGTATCCAACCATGCCTGATTTTTTTTCAACAAAAAACAAACTTATTCTTTAAAATTGCTTTGATTAAATGTATTTTGCTTTTATAATAATGTAAACGTGCTATTATTTTATTCTGGGATTCACATTTTAACATCTGTCCATTAATTTATTTATAAATCTATCCCCCTTGGCGAACTTACATCTTCATCAAACTTAGCAAGTTAACTTGCTAAATTTTTTATGCTTAGTGTTAAAGTATGTAGTTGTGAAATGGTCAGGTCAAAATTATGATATTTCACCCAATGATGCATTTTAGGTATATCACAGTATGATTTAATCCTGTACTGATGTTCATGTTTTTAAAATTGTTTTGGTGTGTTTCATTCTTTTGACACTCTAACCATGCTATATTTTCAAGGAAATACTTGCCAAGCAGCTGTTTAAAAGTGCTGGTATTGTTCTTCGCATTGTAAAGCCCACCTCTCATAGTTACAAATTTTGATTTGCAATAATTATAAATAAGATAAATGTTCAATAGCAACTTAGAACAACATAAATTTTATAATTTTGTATCATATTTTACACTGTTAATCACCAGTGGCCGACACAACCTAAATGGAATGTTCTGTGTCAACCACCAATAAGTGATGTGACACTCAATGTGTTAAGGTTATATTCTTTTATCCCTATGCTGTTTCACTAAAATGCTGCATTGTTTAACCCTGAATTGCTTTAATAAAAAAAGTAATAATTTACTTGAAAAAATTTATTTTGTGGTTCTTTTTATTGCAGCAGTGACTGATCAGGGAGATGAACCTGAAGTTTTGAGAGCAAAATATTTCATAAGAGATGAATTTTTGGTAATCTTATCTTTCTCACCTAAAAATTTACCACTTTATAATGCTTCGTCTTGTTTTTGTTTTTTTATTATTATTCATTTAAAAAATAAAAAAAAGATTTTATGCTGCCTAAAAGAAAGTCAAACAGAACATGTAAACAGTATCAAGCTTTTCTAAATGAAACCTGGACTTGGAAAATGGAGAAATGCCTTAAAAAAAATTACCTCAAAAATCATTTTTTTACAGCAGATTTTATTTAGTTTTTGTAAATCAAAAGGTTTAACATGTTAAGCCCAAACTAAAAGTAATTTAACCATTAAAAAGTTCTTCCAAGTGATTTTTTTAACTATTGATGATTACTTTGATAAAAAATACAAACAAAAATGTTCCCTTTTTCTCATATGATAAATATGATAAAATGCTTAATATGATAAAATGCTTAATATGATAAAAGAATAATATGTAATATGCTTAATATGATAAAATATATATAATAACTAAAGATTTAGAATATTTATTACAACTCCACTTGTCAAGTAAATGAATGTTTAATTTTTTTTCAATAGTGCATGTATGTAAAAATTTATTAAATCAATACAAATTTAAATAATGAGCCCGAGATATTCAAAGCAATATACTTTTTCAGTTAAAAAATATTCAAAATTCGGAGACTGATGAAAAGAAATGTGAAGGAAAAATTGACTGCATAAATATAAACATATAAAACAGTAAAAATACATTTTAGTTCTAACGGCTTAAAAAATGAATACATTTATTTTAGCATTATGGATTTTTAAATTTAACGTTATTCTTATTGACATTAGGCTATATATGGGCTAATTTTGATTTATTAACAAGGATTCACTGAACTAATGTCAAAGGGTATAGACTTACTCTTGTCACCTACTTGTTTCTTAATCATATATCAATTACAATAATTTTTTCCTGTATAAGCATCAACATATCAATCCCAAACTGAAATTATAAACAATCGTACACATTGTCACATGTTCAAATGAAGCTAATTTTGATTTATTAACTAGGATTACTCAACTAAATCAAAGGGTATAGTTACTCTTGCTATCTACTTATTTTCCAACATATTATTTTTACATAAATTTACTTAATAATCTGTTTAGACTCAATTTAAAAGATGCTGCAGGTGGTATTTTAAATTAATGCCACAACCGCAATGCTTCATTTATAGCTGTAATTAAAATATATATATATATTTTTTAAATTATGGGTCTGTCATTAAAAACAACATAATAAACTTTTTTTGAATTCAAAGTAAGAAAACTAGTGTAGTTTTATTACTTTGTGTTCAAAAATCTTAACTTTATTGAATACAAGGTTACAAAGCAAAGAATTTTTTCTAGATATGAATGAATTTTTTGTTGTGAGTGTGATCATAATTAAAAGTAAAATTAAATATGCTTATACTTTTTAAACGAAGATTAGTGAACACTTTTATACTGGCTGTAGCTGTAATGTTTTGAATCATTTGAAAAATATATATTCATATGCTTTTTTGAACTTATTTTTATTAAAAAGCAAGATATAAAAAAAACATGAAATTTAGAAGTTAATTTTAAATAATTCAAAATGCCTGCAAAGATCATGTTGTATAGCATTTTTAAAGAGTGCTTAAAGTATCCATAGTTTCCTGAGTCTGGCAAAATCAATGTATTCACTTTAACTGTAAGTAATGAATCTTAAAGTAAAACATATCAAAAATAAATTACTATTATTTCTTTTAAAATTGTATTACAACATGGTTATATAATTTCCTATGATTTCTTAAGAAATTAGAATATTAGTTTGTGCAAAAAACTTTAACAATTTCTTATTTTGAATTTTTCTTAAATGTAACTATTTTTACAGTTCATATCTACCAGTCTAATAATAATTATTTAAATTAAGCTTTTTGTATAAATTAGTTATAGTCCTCAATCACTTGTAAGATATGTGATGGCCACATGTTTGACTTGAATCTATTACTAAACCATATTATATAACGTTTTTAAATTTTCTGGGTTTTTTTTGTTGCAAAAAATGCCTTTATCTATAATTTGTATTCTTGTATAATCAGGAATCTACATGTCAAACCTAATGGAATTTTCTTTCCTTCAAAATGTAATATTTTATCTATATATATACACATGGTGTGTAGCGTTTTTAAAAAGTGCTTAAAGGTGCTTATTTTTGTTATTTAAAGGCCCTTAAAGGTGCTTTTTTCATTGGGCGTTTTTAAAAAGTGCTTAATTTTCATTTTTCGAAAGTGAGATTTTTTTTCTTTACCATGTCGATTTTTGCCACGTATTATGCAAAAGCGTGCTTTTCACATTGTTCTATTCAACGTTTTCACAATGCATTCAGCCAATATCCATTTCGACCTACCGTCGGTCCATAGCGTATGAAAACCGCAATCATTTTACATGTTTGGTAAAATACTTGCGAATCTGTGTGTGCGTCTACTGAGCTGAGTTCAGTGACATTCTAGCACTCTCAAGTTCAAATCTGCTGCATTTTGCAAGATATTCTCAATTTCAGGCCCTCTGAAATCGAACTGAAAAATTTCTCGATCTTTTTATGGTGGCTAATATAATCAAGAAAAGAGTTCTTTGTCAGAAACCAGTTGTTTTATCATGATCATGTAAAGTCTTTGAAAATTATTTTCCATTTTGCTAATGTATATCAGTACGTGTACCCCAGGGGTACGGGAACAGTTTAGCGGGGGTACACGTTCTTATGGGAAATATCTTGCAACAAACGAAAATTTCAAAACATTTTATTTAAAAAACAAAGCTAGCCATGAAAATTTACGATTGCGTCTTTTTCTATTGGCTATTTTTTGCAGAGCTAACAGTTAATAATTAGTGGGATCAACAGCCAGTTGTGATTTTTATTTTTTTTATAGTAAAAAATATATTCATTTTTTTTTATTAGTGGTACACAGCGTTACGAAAAATTTTGAAAGGTTACGCAGAAGTCATAAGTTTGGGAAACACTGATGTATATAGTGCTTAAAAATATTCTTTAGAGTGCCTAAAAAGTATTTAAAAGGTGCTTATTTTTTGTTGTAAGATTTGGCTATGCATCCTGATGATGAAATAAGTGGGAATTTTATGTTTTTCTTTAAAATAAACTTGTATGTGTTGTCTCCTCTTTTTTTAGCGCATCAGCACAGCGAGCGGTGATGGGAAGCACTACTGTTACCCCCACTTCACATGTGCTGTAGACACTGAGAACATTCGACGGGTATTCAACGACTGCCGAGACATCATCCAACGGATGCACTTACACCAGTACGAACTTTTGTGATCGAACCACTGTTAGATTACTCTGTTCTTTTTTCTGTTATTGCATGCAGCAAAAAGGTGGAACATTATAAATACTACAACACTGTGGAGTGAAAACACTGCCTCTTTCTCTCAAATCATCATTGGCCATAAAACAACACCACCTGCTCTGCTGCATCATTCCGTGTGCTAATAGCGCCATCTGGCGGCCCAAAAATTAGCCGAGGAACATTTTGCCTACCCTCCTTACCTCCCTCTATCCCTCCCCCCCTAAAACTGTGATTTCACAAACAACAACAAACCACTACTCTCTCTTTTTTGTGTATCACGGTTGCTTCCATTTCTTCATTCTCTCTGCATTTCTTCTTCTCATGGGTGTTGTCACACATAAATAACATAGAGGAACCCTTTTTAGACGAAAAGAGAAATTCTGCGGTAATGGATATATTATTATTTTAGTCTTCTTCCCCCCTTCAAAACAACCGTGATGTGATTTTTATTTTTAATGCATTTTATGACTTTTTATTGCTGCACTTATTCTCATGTTTCAAAACCCATTATTATGTGTATTATCTTCAAAGAATGACAGGACATGCTGTGTGTCCCGTAATTGCATTTACGGCAGCCTATTTTGATTCGGTTTTTATTATATATACATATGTACATGTGCTGTGCATGTATATGTATATATATACACATATATACATAAATATATAGTTTGTATATTTCAGAAGTTCTCTCTTGGTGGTTATTGCATTTGTTAGTTTTAGTCTAGTCAACCTTTGATTTTTTTAGATTGGAATAGTTTTATTATTGTTGATTTATATTTAAGTTGTAGAAAGAAAAAAAATCATATTTGGATAGTATTTATTGTTTTTCGACAGGAATTGGCTGTGTTATTAATTGATGATGAGATTGAACGTCTTTATAATAAATTTTAAAAAAAAAGAGAGAGAGAGATTTATGGGTGCTTTGTTATCTGCTGCTGCTGTCTACTTAAAAAATCAAATTTGTTTTTTTTTCTCCTCTTTTTCCTGTTTTTGTTTGTATGCATTTGTCTTCCCTTGTTGCAGATATATTTCAGGGCTTCTTTAACATTAGGTTTCTAATTTTTGTGTATTTTAAATGTGTTGGTAGAACAACTATTTAATCAAGTTCATTATAATCAGTTAAAAGTGACTCGCTTTTAATTATCTATTTTTAATATATTTTTATATAAAATAATCTGCAGTCACGGATGGTTTTTTATTATTATTAATGCTTGCATCCCTCTATTAATATTAATTCCCTTTTTTTTTTAAAGGTTAGTGAAAAATTATGTTGAAAAATGTATCTTGCTTCTAAAGATTCCTTCTATGAAGTATTCTGTATTATTTATATACATATATATATATTCAAGGCCTGTTCAAGCTCAAACCAAATATGTTGTTACATTTTTGTTCTGGTATAGTCAGGCATTACTCCCTTTTTTTCATGTTATGCTTTTATAATAAATTGTAAAAGTGTTATTTAATTAAAATCAACTCGGTGTTTTAGAACATGTTTTTAAAAGGTATAATGCTTTTAATTAAATAAAGATATGTGTACATAATTTTTTAATAACTAATTAGTTTTTTCTTTTATTTTCTTGCTAATTAAGTTTGAAAAGAGCTTAACTTTCCTTAAAAAAAGAAAAGAAATTCTATAGGTTGGTGCAACAGTTTTTATGTGTGTGATCTATATGGTTATTTAAATTGCATTCAACTATTTAAATTATTTTTGTAAGTGAATTGCTAACTTAAAAATATGAAAATTAGGAAAAGAAAAAAAATTGGATTTTATTGTCGGTGAATCTTTTTTTTTTCTTTAACAAATTTCTCTTATTTTAGCCTTCATATTTTGTAATAGCTTTGCATAAACATCTAAGTGAATGGTTTGCTTCTAGTTTTTTACAACCTGCAGAATTTATTCATAATTGTGCAAGTGTAGCCTGATTCCAAACTATTCTGCCATCTGAATGTTTGCAAAACATTTCTAGTGATCCACATAGTGTTTACATTTGAAATTCTAATATAAATTTCATATTCGTTAAAGTCTAACAATAATGGATTTCCATATTTTTTAGTCTTTATAAATTTTTCTCTTTTATTTTTCAAATTCTAAGCTATTAACATTTATTACTTATTAGCATAGTAAATATGTAAACATAGATGGTCAAACTCAAATAAGTTAAAAATGTTTTTTCTTTTATAAAAATGAATGACCAACTCTTAAATTGTTTTTTTTTTTTTTTTTTTCTTGCAAAAAAGTGGATAATTTTTGTGTTCAAAAACAACTTATTACAAAAACGCATCAAAACATTATAAATCATCTACATTAAAAGAATGTGGTTTTTCAACCTGACAAAGCGTTTAAATGACTGTTTTTCTATTTATTGGTTCACATGGATATGTATATTAAACACAATGCGACCAAAAACTCCCACAACAAAAATTACTCAATACTTAAAACAACTCAGATTAATTTAAAACATTTGTTTAAAAAAAAATTGAGATGAAAATCTTATCATAAATGTTTTTATAATTCATTGCGTGTTCTACTTTGTGATGAGTGTGATTTATTTCATATTGCATAACTTGGGAGAGGTACCCAAATTTTGCACTTTGTTGTTGTAATAAAGTGTATAAATAGTAATAATTTTTTTTACAGAAAACACAAGTTTTTAGAAGTAAGTGTTCATAGATTTAAATATATATAACCTTAATAAATGTTATTGCATAATTTATAATTTCAAAAACTTCAAGTTAAAATATTTTTTCTTCCAAATCTAAGTTATAATAAAAGTTGGAAGTATATCATTGTCTCTTGGAGATGAATGTTTAAAATTCAAAACGGAAAACTTTGTACTAGTTATGTTGCAGCTCTGGAATATCCGCGACAAAATAAATTATTCAATATTTCATAGATTAAGCTGGAATTTTTATTTTACAAAAATTGATTCGTAATTCTCTTTTATGTTCTTATCATGCATTCAGTGTTTTACTTTGTGAGGAATGTCATTTATTTCATTGTACATAACTTGGAAGAGTTTTTTTTTTTTTTTTAAACTAAGTTTTAGAAATTAAGTGTTAATGCATCATTAATTCAAAAAGAAGGGGGAAATATTACCAGTTTGAAATGGTATTACACATTCATATTTTTCAATTAATTTGCTCATTTTATTAGGTATATATTTCTTTTTTGTTGCTGGGAATTAGTTATTTTTACAGTGCTACTAAATTGAATTCCAATCTATTATATTTTCAGGGTTTGCCCCTTAACAGGGAAAACAGGGGAAAACCTGAAAAATTCAGGGAATTTAAAAATCGCCTAAAATAACTGGGAATTTTGAGTTTTTCATTACGAATTGAGAAAATACAGGAAATTTTGTTTCTTATTTTTGTCTTTTAAGAGATAGTGACTGCTCAAAATGCAATCTATGGAATATTTAAGGATGATAGTTCAACTACACTAAACTATTTCATTTACTATAGCATTATTTGTTTTAAGTATGTTCAGATGTACGTACCTTTTTTTTTCTCTAAGTTTTTCCAGCAATTCAAACTAGTATATTTAGCCCAATGTACCTCACACAAGCGCACAGGGATTGTGTGTTTCTTCTTACTGTATTGTGCATAGTGTATGTACAAGGAAGACAGGGTATTTTATTTTCTAGATTAGATTGGCGATCCTGATTTTTTAAGTACTAACATAAATTAATAACTTCTGATGTTGACCAAGTTATTAGTTGGCAGTTTTTTTTGAATAATTGGGATCTTTTTTCTAAAAAGCATCTACTTATAAAGGCTACTAAATTATGATAAATATGTTTCTCTTTTTTTTTGGCAACACTTACCTATTTCAAAGCTTTTTTTTTTTTAAATGAGACTTCCAATGCATGTTGATTGTCATTTTGTTGCCAAAACTTTGTGAGGCTTGAATTTTCTGTGTGAGTGAAATATGATATCTGTAAAAAATCTGTCTTTATATTTTTGTAATAGCTGGCAATGTATTAGTTTCAATTGTTAATAACAGCAAGTGTTCCTCACAAACTATGCATTGAGCATAATAAGATAACGTGAAGCCATTAATAATTTTTCAGAGCCCAGTTCTCGTAAATTCTAGCATGTTTTCTAAAATGAAATTGTAATAAAAAAAGTCATCCACAGAAGTGAATGTCGATTTCAATGTAAAATCTGAAATAGACTATTCTGATCTGTTTTATATTTTGTTAATTAATTTTTTAAAGTGAGAAAGCGAACTTAAAATATATTCTGCCAAATTTTATATTTAAAAAATTGGCAGTTTTACTTTGAAAAAATTTTGTACTTTAATCATGAATTCCTATTACATATAAATATGTATGTAAATTTAAATCTTTTTGTGATTGTTAAGCTAATTTAAATGACTAAAATTGGCAAAATATTGCTTTGAAAGTCTTCTACATATTTTTTTCTTAAGTAGTATCATTTTTCTTAACCTTTTAATTTGTAAACAACTTTTTATATTTAGTTTAGAAAAAATGGAACCTATTTTAGCAATTAATAGTCTTCAAAGCTTTGTTTTCATAATAATGAACTTTTTAACTATTTATTCAATTCAAAAACATAATTACATGGGGGAATTATTTTTATTATGGTTGCCCATTTCTCCTGGCTAAACCAATAATTCTCGTGATTTGTGTTCTCTAAAAATGAAAAAGTGTCTTAACAGAATTTGGATAAAAATAAATTTTTTGCCCACTTCATTTCTTGCTTGAATATTTAAATATGTATGTATTACTGCTGAATAATGAAGTAAGCCTTATTCATTATAATGAATGTAATTTTTTTTTCTTTATCTTAAATGCTCAGTTTTTTTTTTTTTTTCAGAACTTTTTATTCTAAAATGAATTTAGTGTTTATTATGATTAAAAAATGTAACGAACATAATGAAAAAATTTTGCGTTATAGTTTGCCAATAGTAACTGGAAAGTATTGCAGTCCATTTACATAGGGTTGCCATTCCATAGGGAAAATATAGGGAATTTAAAAATCTCCTGAAATAACAGGGAATTTTTATTTTTTCTCTACGAACTGGGAAAATACGGAGAATTAATTCTTATTTCCGTCTTTTAAAAAATGGTGATCACTCAAAGTGTAATATATGGGATATTTAAAGGTGATATTTCAGTTATACTAAAATATTTTATTTACTATAGCCTTATTTAAGTATGTTCAGCTATTCATTTTTTTCTCCAAGTTTTTCCAGCTATTAAAATTAGTATACTTAGCACATAATAGCTGACGCAAAAGCACAGTAATTGTATTTCCTCTAAGTATATTGTGTATAATATGTTACACAGGGAATTTTTTTTTCTCCAGATTTGTAATTATTTATATCCTACTGAGTTTTTACATTTTATAGACTAAAAAAATCCCTGAAATTCCTTATGTCTAAAATTTTTGAAAGGTTATTGTATAGTAACAACATGATTTATATATTTTTTTAAATTTAATGTTTTTTTTTTTCCTCTTTATTTTGGCAGCTTTGTTTTCTAGAGTTTGTCTCCTTATTTAATCTCCAAATTTCGTGAGTTCTGTAAATTAGATTTCCTAAAAATAGGAAAGACATTTGAATGTGCTAACTTTCTGACACGATACAATTTCACTTTACTTCAAATGCATATTTTTGTGGATCATGTTTTTAACTCTAGATTACAATAAAACTTTTTACGGAGACGAAATTCTGTGCAACTTAGGAATGACTCATTTGTTTTACTTGAATTATGAATTTTAGGGTTACCACTCCACAGGGAGAATAGGGAAAAACCTGGAAAATACAGGGAATTTAATAATCCCTAAAATAACAGGGAATTTAGATTTTTTTTTTCCCTTAACGAACTGGGAAAATGCAGGGAATTCCTCTTCAATTAAATATATGCATTGATTTTATATGTGTACATAATATACAATGATACATGAAGAAACATTCATTAATATAATCAATACTGTAATTTGATAAACTAATAGCCAATATAACAAATCTCATTATTAAAAATTGTGTATAAAAAGTTCCTGAAAACAATGGCAGGTGCGTTGCACAAAATACGCATAAATTGAGGACTCTGTCAATAAAAGTTTTATATGATTTAAAGTTTAAGAAAGAATATATTTATAATAAAATATGTCTGTCAATCATTTGTCATGTATGTGTCTTCCGAATTCTAAAATGTATTTTTTGGATTATCTCTTTAATTTTTTCGTATCAGGAGGAAGAAAAAAATTTGTGGTTGGTAAAAATTGTTGAATGCTATTTAAGTGTGAGTGTATGAAAAACTGCCTTTTTTTTAAAAAAAAATTACATCTTAAAAATAAATTTTTAAAAAAAACATTATTTTACAGGTTAATGATGAACAATAAAGATATTACTCAATCATTATTAATGCTCGCCACAGGATGATTAATTATAACAAAAGGGCGATTTTAAAAAGTTCTGTAAATGTTTTTTCAGCAAAATTGCA